AACTTCCCTTGGCATGCGGGACAATTTTCGTCGGCAGTAAGTCATTTCACGCTTGGCCGTAGCCTCGTTTCAGGCAGCGAAAAACGGCTATGTTTACAGAGTTGTACAAAATGATAAGACTTAGACAAATACAAATATACTAACCTTACTTCTATGCGTTTCTTTGGGACCAAGATCACGGTTGAAGCCCAACGATCTCTTTCTCCGATCATTTAGATCTCGCAATTTACTACGATTTGACCCTTTTAAGTTCAAACCCCATGTAATCATTAGCGGGGCCAAAGGGTGACCTCAGGTAGCCGCAAATGGGTCGCTTCAGCGGCCTGGACGGGCCCGGCCAGCGACACTTCTGACAGGCTTGTGTCTCAACCATCACTCAGCGCACCGAGTTGCGGCGTTCAGCAACATGTAGCGTTATCCTATAGATGTAATATTTTGATATGTTCAAGTCATTTGCATTAGGTTCTTCGTGGGTACGGTTTCCTCAACCCACTGCACTTCTCTGGGTTCAATTTTACTCAACTAGTGTATGCAGACAGTTATATTTGTCCTTGACCCACCCATTGCATTTTTCTATCACTTTGGCTATAAAGTGTGAAAGAGTTGCGGATATTTTTACACCCAAACTTACAGTTGCAAATTGATAGGCCCAAAATTAGTGCAGTGTAGCTAATTATGACTCAAGACAAACAGGCGATAACAGCGCGTAACTTTCTTGAAATAATCATCCGCCATTTCGTTAGCGTCTCAACCTCAATCGTAACGAAGTACGCATTTTTCCAAAATACATACGAGACGCAAGCCGTTACCGATTCCTTATCGGAATCTATGGGTTTTCTCAGCCCTTGAGGTCCACTAATTTGTATGCAAGCTGCTTTATTGTGTTTGGGCTTCCCGCAACCAGTTAATGTCACGGCAATATTATTTGACCCGATCAAAACAGGAAACTAAATATTGGAAAAGTGCGAAAGGGAAAGTGGGTGGGACCCTGTCCTGATCTAGACGCCCAGGGACACCGCCAAGAGGCCGGCTCCGCTTGACGGCGGGAAAGGGAAAATGGGCGGGACCCTGTCCTGATCTAGATGCCCAGGGACACCGCCAAGAGGCCGGCTCCGCTTGACGGCGGGAAAGGGAAAATGGGCGGGACCCTGTCCTGATCTAGATGCCCAGGGACACCGCCAAGAGGCCGGCTCCGCTTGACGGCGGGAAAGGGAAAGAAGGCGGGACCCTGTCCTGATCTAGATGCCCAGGGTCACCGACAAGAGGCCGGCTCCGCTTGACGGCGGGAAAGGGAAAATGGGCGGGACCCTCTCCTTACCTAGATGCCCAGGGACACCGACAAGAGGCCGGCTCCGCTTGACGGCGGGAAAGGGAAAATGGGCGGGACCCTCTCCTGATCTAGACGCCCAGGGACACCGCCAAGAGGCCGGCTCCGCTTGATGGCGGAGAAAACCCTTCTGTTTTCGCAAGTCTTCCAATGGCGTTGGCAGAAACGCAGTTCAGTGTGTGCAATCAGTCACGTGCACTGCACTGGAGCGCAAACCGTTAGTCCACCGCGGTTTTGGAACACTTTGAGGGTTGCTTACATGGAACTTGAAAAACTGAGAAGGTAACAATGATAAGTAAAACCGACTGCATGGTCTGTATTTTTGTATCGGCTACAAATCACTAAATGAGTTTTGCGCTGCCCAACCCACTGCGACACGAGTAACAGGTAGCGTTTAACACGCCTCCCCAGCGTAACCGAACACCCCACTTTGTTTCCGCATTCGAATATTCCGCAAAGTACTTTCGGATATGCGCGATTTTATCTCAGTCACCGAAAGTAGATTCATGTACAGGTATGCTGGGCAGGACACACACGACCTGCCGACTAAGTTGCATGTTAACACGCGCCCAGGTGGCCGGCTAGATACTCTGCTCGGATGGAGCGGGTCAATTTGACCCCCTGAGATCTCAAGAACTAAGAAAGCTAGAGACATCGCATTTACAGAGTGTGTTGACCTGTATGTAAACTCACTTAGGTCGAAGTTTCAGGTTCCTAGGTCATGACCTTTAGGTAAAAAAGGGTCAAAAATGTGAAGTTCCAGGTTGGTCTCCCAAAGTGCACCCAGAACATAGATAACCGTTTGTAAGCAAAAGGTCACATGCTCATTCAAGGTCAGTGACCTTGTTTGACCTTTTGAAGGTCAATTTGACCAAAATCATGCAAGATTGCTTTGGGTTTTGCATTTGACTAAGCGACAGAGATTACGTAAGGCAGTATGTTCCTAAAACAAAAGGTTGATCTGGGTTATTTTAGGTTAATGAACTGTTCTGACCTCTAAGACGTCCATGGAGGATGTATAATGCGGTTCCCGCCATCAATAAACTCGAAATGAGCACCAGAAACTATCTCATACAGCAACCCCTAGAGTAACAAAACAGGTTGGTTTTGACCTTGGTGTGACCTTTATGCCTGACCTTAGGTCAATTTAATTTACTCATTCAACTGTTGTGTTGCCTAAGAAAGCATTTCAGAGATGTATGGCTTCATCTAACACTCCGTCGTTGGATCAGATTGCAGGATTCCCTAAAAATTGCCTTTGCTGAAACTATGGCCTGACTTTGACCTGCCATAGGTCAGCGACCATAGAGAGTGCATCTAAATTTGTGATGTCAAACGATCCTCTATTAAATTTTTTACAGCCATGCAAAATTTGGTGCTGTTACGCCGCGCCGTTCGGAAACCATTCTGGAAAACCTTTGGGAGGGGGGTCAGTTTGACCCCCGACCGAACGCGTGTTAAGAGTATATGGGATCTGTAAAAAAAGGCCATTGTCGAAGGTCACCACAGGAATTCCGGGTTTTCTTTGACACATGTGTAACTGAGGTTGGTGAGTAATTGCGGCATTTCTCCTCGGTCTTACGAAGCTTTTGATGAAGCAAGACTTCCGATCTTAACGCGGCTTTCCTCTTGCGCACTTTTTTGTCAGTAACGGAATCTTTATATATCAATGGTAAGCACCCGGTCTTATCCTCTCTACCACGGCCACGAAGAAGCTAGTCATTGGTTAGGCTGGTAACTGATACATCCCGTCAGGCTTCAAGTCGATTTAGGCGCTCGCCATTTCCCCTGACTATGGTGGCCTGCAGTCGGTGGTCGCGGCCGTGCTTCAGGTCAGGTGACGTCAGAGGGCAGGGCGACCGTGTTGGATGTTGCGACATGTTAAGCTTTCGCCTGAAAGTTATGTGGTGTTGGCCAGGAGTTTTATTATCGGTTGGTGAGGTCAGGGCTTGAGCAACAAGCGCCGCTTACATTGGGCATTGCTTCCAGGGTGCGATCAATAAAAAGGTTCGAACTAATTTACCGTTTATAAGCATTTCCGGGTGCGACTTATTGTTGGAGGGAGCACTGCATGCACTCCGAACAACAGCGAGGACATGGAGCGGCATACACACTGACGTTTATAATCACCTGACTGTTCAAAGCTCTCTTATCGCAAAGTACATGTAGCGTGTCATGCTATCACAATGCGTATCTAAACACTGAGAACAGCAGCACCGCAGGGTTGTGTGTGTGTGTGTGATTGGGGCTTTACGACGCACTCAGCTGCTGAGGCTATATGGCGTCGCAGGGTTATATATATATATACCGCAGGGTTGTCGAAAAGAACAGTAAAGCAGCTGAAAAGTTCATTTACAGTCCAGGAGCTGCAGCCGACATTTCAGCTGGTGTTACAAGCCAGGTGAGGCCGTGTGATATCGTGAGAAACTGCAACACCTGGAACGACCCGAAATGTTTTGCGCGGTGCCATGTAGCTCAAAAGCGTTATGTTTTGACAGAGAAAAGAGCGAGCTTCAATGCCACTGGCGTACACTAAAAAACACTCCGAAGGTTCGCAGGCATGAACATGGATGATTGTAAAGCAGCGTCCCTCCCTGAAACACCGTAACATTCAGACATCATTTTCGTAATGATCTTGGATTTTGGTGTTCGTTAGCTGTGGGCCTTAAGTTCAGTTATTCATTAGACCCATAGATATTCCCCTAAAAGCCCAATTATGCGAGTGACTCCCCCTCCCCACCGTCAGCGAAGCTTCAGACCGCGTTTCAATGCCAAGAGAAATCCAGGAAGATTCAGGAGCCTCTTATAAGAAAACCCTAGATGTGTCCCTGAAACATTTGCGACTGAAGTGCAGCCTTTGACGACCCTTTGTAAATTGTGCTCAACCAGCCAGCCATCTTCTTTAGCAACAAAGATGTATGGACCTCTGATGGGTCCAAGCTGATATGAACTTGTCGACGGCTTAGTTTATTAAATACAACAATACGTAGTTTTGTCGCCAGGTTTGCTACGGTCGGACAAATAGCAAGGAGATCGCAGTCTCTCCCTTATCTCTCGATATATATTCAGAAAAATTGTCACCACTCGGAAGGCATCTAACAGATATACCCATTAACTTAAAAACGAACTCTTGGTCAGGGTTGGCTCGATAACTTGAAGACCGTGAAATCGAAAGAGAAATCGTCCTCGTTCAAGCAAAGCGTGCACACTCGCTAACCAAATGCCGCCGCCGTTTTTGTTTTTGCCTTTGTTTTGTCTTCCAAGAAGCGAAGCTGCCGCTGTTCCTGTTGCAGTTTCTTGGGTGGCTGAAGGGTGCCCATGACCTTCCCACCCCAAGCATGACTGCATCCATTTGGTAAAGGCACGCATCACCCTGAAAAAATAAATACAAACGCGATGCCATATCTGAGCTGAAATTAAGTTGCACGAGAAGACTTGCATTCGTTTGCCATTGATTTAATGATAGCGATGGATTTAAGGTAATGGTAGTTACACGTCGTATTACTTAGCAATACATCCAGCATCATTTTACATCAGGTCTTAACCCAACGCGCAGAAACCAGCACACCCGGACCTAGCACGCGTGGAACATCACGTTCTGGCCTTTGACGGCTGCTTTTGGCCAATGCCTCACCACCACCGTTCCCCGAAAGTGAAACGAGTCGACACTCACCATCCGAAACTCGGCGTTCGTCGCGCCGAACCACAGCGTCACCAGCACCAGCGTCCGCATGGTGACTCCCGTCGGCGGTGCAGCGGACTCGGAATCGGCTCGAGACTCAGCGAGTCGCACCGACCACAGCCGAGTTCATGGCACCGGGCCTCGCCGCACTTTCTGGCCTCCCGCGCGCTTCTCTCGGACCGCCGCGGCACTGGCCCGAGACTGCAGCGGCGGAAGCTGGCGGCCGGCGCCGTGTGTTGGCGCATGCGCCCCGTGGAGAAAGCGGACGCCTACAGGCGACCTCGATCGCTCACAAGCGAGCATCATGCCCGATGATGCCGGGCAGCTTGCTAGGGCGAGCTGGGGTGTCGGTACAGTTCACGCGACGTCTCTGCCAACGCCGAGGACTTGCAGGGTCGATGCTCCGCGCCGGCCAGCAAAAAGTTCCGAGGAAATCATAGCGGTCTGCGTTAAACTTCCCACCTCTATGCCCACGCGGCCGCCGCTTGTGGTCCGGCTCGCGCCCTCTGTATCCGGACGTAACCCCGAGGTCACTGAACTGACCCACAGACCTACCTGGGCCGGGTGCCGACAAGCGCGCCGTCTGCGTCAGCCATCGGGCCAGACCATCGGTGTCTGGTCCCACGCCACCACGCCAAGTGGGCACTGTGCCGTCCACCACGCCTGATCTCTTGCGGTTCCCGGTGTTTTGCTCTGCATTGGGTTTGTCCTGCGCCTGAACTGATTGTGTGTTTCCCAGTATCGGGTCATGCAGTGCCGCCACTACGTGTTCCACACTGTCTCCCCACTGCCCGGTTATATGCCGTCTGCCGATGTCCAGTCCCGTTACTGCCTCCACAGAGTTGCTTTAATGTCGCTCCTAAGTGACCCCAGACCGTTTCCCCAGCGCATGGCCACCTGTCACCCCTCCAGCGTCTGGTTCACACACTGCATCCTAAGTGATCTTACACCGTCTCCCAAGCAAGCAGCAGTTCACCTGGTATATGCTTACCAGCTTGAACAGCTGAAATTACCGGCCTTTTACCACTCGGAAACGTGATTAGCTTTTAAAAAGCCTGAAGAACTTCTCAAAATGTCGTATACCGTTAGGTGGCGAAACGTGATGACATGTGGCAAACAACTAAGCCTGTTATTGTTCACTTGCGTGTGACATCGCCGAATCATTCCATATCGAGTGTCCGTCAAGCTGTGTGTGGTCCCATGTTCTTGCGTTATTTTTGGATGGTCTCAAACAGCAACGAAACAACATATATTAATAAGAGTGCAGGTTTCAGGAGTGCTCTATATAATACTAAGACAATATGATAACCACATGACATGTGTCATGTCATGTAAGCACATAACATGTTTCTCTGGCTTGTATCGACATGCCAAAATGAATAATCTTCAACACGCAGGCGGCGGAATACCGGCATAGGGAAAGCAGCCACTCACTTTCCCGCAGATGAAGCGGACTGCGCCGTATTTCGGTGACGTGTCTGCGGGAGCATGGTCTCTGATCACCGTCAGTGCACAGAGGAGCAGCGGCAACGGCACCAACAACGGACCCCCACCTCGTTCCCCGCGCCAGGTCAGGCCTCCCTCCCTCCCCCACCCCTCTGACAAGAGGTCAGCCCCACCAGTGACGTCAGCGCACGGCGCCAAGTCCAGACGCCACCGCGGCTCCTGGTCCCCGGCTGATGTCGCGATGGCACGGTTGGCGGCGAAGGGCTCGGCGGCGGCGGCGGGTGGCGCGGACACTTTCTCCGCGCGCGGCCGTCGCCGGCGCCCGTGACGCCTCGGCTCGTCTCCGTGACACCGATCAGAGCCGCGCCGCCAGCCGCGAGACGGATCAGTGACACCGGCCGACGAGACAGCCCGTCAGAGGGACAGCTCACGACGAGACAGCCCGTCAGAGGGACAGCTGGCGACGAGACACGCCCGTCGGAGGGACCCCCCCCCCCCCGCGACCAACGTAATGTGTTGCTCATGGAGGCCACGGAAGTCCGTCACAAAGAGCCGATGAGTACTCACAGCCGGTGCACGGAGAAACGTTTGCCAGAAGGGGAGTGGGTTGCGCCCGTTCCGAGACAAGTGCGGAGGCGAGGAGGGGTCATATGGAATAAACCCCGGCTCTTTCACCGAAAAAATGCTCCGACAGCAGGACACAGCTCCCATGGTTCTGGAGGCACTAACTGCCGTTGGTATGTCGGGCAGGAGCTCGGTGCGCCGGCAGGACTAAATCTTATGCATATATATATATATATATATATATATATATATATATATATATATATATATACATATATGCAATACCTTATTTCTTTATATCTCGCCTTTATTCTGGAATAGATGCGCAGATACCTAGCAGCAAGAAAGTGATGCTTATGTGGCTAAATTTGCATTAACCAAGTATTAAATGTTGCAACAAAAGTGATTTATCGTATAAAGCTAGCCGAAATGGGACAAAGTTTATGCTCTTTTATGCTGCCCACCCGTTGTAAGGCATATCGTTAGCTCTGGCACGGCGTTAGTTTCGTCGGCTTTTATGCAGAACTCGAACATTTGTTCGTTTGCTTGTTTGGAGCTTGTTTGCCAATGACATCAGAAGGCTAGGTACTAACCGAGAGCCGGTCGGCATATCACAACAAAGCCTGCAGATTGCTACCTGGAGCTTGATCCCGTAAGGTGGACTTCGTTCCCGTTTCCAAGACGTCCGTGACTTTGCGAGACGGTGCCGGTCCCGCTGGTTGAAGCACGCGCGCGGTCTGTAGACTCTGGTCACGGCACCAACGAGGATCGGTCGGGCGAAAGTGGTCCACTCAAACGCGTGCCGCACTGTTTCCTGTCAGTCCTCAGCCCTAACAGAGTGTTGCCTGATGTGAAGAGCATGTGCCCGGTGTCTCTGGCCGCTCCGCCAGAAGCGGGACTCTGCTTCGGGACACTTTGTGCGGTGTGTCCCTTGGCTCGGACACCAGCAGCCTGGTTCGAGTCGCCGCAGTCCAACGGTTCCACCAACTCCATCGTCCTCCCTGCTCCACCAGTCCTGCCGTCCTCCCTGCTCCGGCCGTCTCGCCGTCCCCCAGCTGCAGCGGCGGCGGCAGCGCTGCCAGCCTGCCCCCCCCCCCTCCCCCCCCGCTCCGCCGGGCATGACCGGTCACCACCCGTAACGCAGGTCACCACCCGTGGCGCAGGTCGTCGGCTGTGGCGCGGTGCTGGCCGTTTTCACTAGCCGATTGTCGCCACAGCCGCGGCGTCACCGGCGGGGCGACAGCTGCCCGGTGTCGCAAGCGAAACGAAAGAGCGCCCCGTGTCGGTGGCGCAGAGGCGAAGCCGCCGTGACAGTGGAGAGACGTTTTAGTGGAAATGGAACGAACGATAAGAACGTTCAACGTAGGATACGTCGGACATAAATGCGTTTGTTTGTTAATCAAATGCGTCATCCACGTTCTCAAAATGACGCAGCAGCGTTCACATTCCGCATATGAGGAATATAACAGCTCGATCTTTGAGTGATGCCGGTATTTGGAGCAGAATCATCATATGCGCCTGTTTCTGCTCCGTTTAACGCATTTCACGTATTTTGTATGACTTGGCCCAAGTAAAACGGGCGTGGATGGGCCGCGGTCGCTCCCCTCCACCGCGACTCTTGAGGCATACCATATGTAAAAATTCGACAACCTCTCATGCCTCGCCCCGCCTCGCCTCGCCTCGCTTCAACATCTTCATTTCACGCCGCATGAAGCCTAGTAAGTTTTCGTGAGCACCCGACGGTGTCATATTAGGCGGCACCCGCCAATAAAAGCAGCGAACCGCGACGGCGGCTCCAACTGCTTCCACATGCCACCACCACAGATGCGTGCCATTTTCACCAAATAGATCAGAACGTCCCGTCCCTCATAATGTTTACGGCCTCGAAGACCGGCCTCTTACAGCCGCTACCACCGACCATCGGCCACCGCCACCGCTGACCACCTTCCACCGCCGCGGCCGGGCACACTCACCGTGTTGCAGTTGGCGCCGTTGGACTGCTGGTCGCAGACGACACGGACGTCGTACTCGAGCTGCACGTGACCCTGGGCGACCCGGTCGCGCAGCCAGGGGCCCGGCTCCAGACGGCGGCGCACGACCGCCCGGCTGATGATCCGCGCCGAGTCGCCTGAGGCCCAAACGGCAGGTCACGTGACCGACACAGCTCGGCCGCCGACGGCGTGTTACGCGGCTCACGTGACGGCGTGCTTATGCCGGTCCGCGGGCGTGGAGCGGGTCACGTGATCGTTTGTGCTGGTCGCCGAGCGTGAAGCAGCCCGGCTGCGGGGTGTTAAGACAGGTCACGTGACAATGCGCGCCTCGTGGGAACGTCTCTGGCAGGCGACAGACATAGAGAAAGTGGCGGCATGAGATGAATGAGGAAACTCCAGAGAGTGCGGAGATGTAAAGAGTTCGCAAACCAGCTACGTCGTCTGCCAACAGACAGTGCGCAGCTTTCTTAAAAGTATAACTTGCGAAAGCGATAGCAGAACCATACAATCTGCTTTGATCTGTTGTGTTTCGGGGATCACCTAACAACACAATGATTGCAGCCATACAGATCATAAGCAAAGTTGGAGGAAAAATATGAACGGATAAATGAAAAGTGACTCCTGTAAGGCCAAGCATTTGTATTACCCATTTGGTCACAATTGAATGCAGGCATACGTAAGTATTTGGTTTAGGCTCATTACACCCAGACTGCGTTACAGTTATTCCCAGAATGGTCTTGTCGAAGTAAAATAGCGATTTTTTGTCCTTCTTCATGCAGTGAAGACGGATAGCACCACCACAAAATCATTGTTTTTTCAGCAAGATAAACTCGGGTATACCAACCGGAAGCTAATCTACTCTGTGTTCAAATAACTTTAGATTAGTCGACTTTGATCAAATTGCGAGCTTGGCAACCCTTAAAATATGTTGATCACAGTAATATGATTCACAGTATCTACCACAGACCATGCGGTTTGGTTACGTGGTGCAAATCTCAGCCACAATTTGACAAAATGCAGGTCATCAGGCGACGGATTGTGCCTTTGGCTTTGAACTTCTTCAAACCTCTGTTACCTATGTGAATGATGAACGGCCGGTGCAAAGTCACCAGCTCCGAAGCTGATTGCGCCAAAACACCGCACTATGCCACCACGTTCTAGTGCCGTTCACAACTTTCGCAGGATTTTATCGACTTAAGAAATAAATGATGTCGTTAATGCTGTGAGCGACACAAGCTCTCCGATTAGTGTCACAAGTAGTGATACCAGTTCCGAACACTCATTACACGCGTTGTGTGGTTACTTCCAAAGAGGGGTCTCTCTCTGCCTCCCTCCCTTCATCCCTCCCTGCTCCTCCCGTTCCTCCCTCCCTCCCTCTCTTTAAACATGCAACATACCCTCTCCTCACTTCGAACAAAACTATGAAAACAGGCGAACGTGAGATCGTGGTCTAATATGGTCGGCGATCACTACCACCTATGTCCAGACATGCATTAGAAATGGCACGACGTGTTGGCAGTACCTGACTGGATGTCCTGCATGGTGGGATTGTTCTTGAACAGTTCGCCGGTCGTGTCGTGCCAGGCCTCGATAATGATGCTGAAGACCCCCTGAGCACATACACGACAGGTCAGCGGGCTCGGTCGCGCACTGGAACGGCTGTCTATAGCATGGACGAGAGTGCACACGTCTCACCTAGCCTTTACACGCCGCTGGAGGTTGGGAACGGCCCAAAATGTGGGATGCCCCGACTGCATTTTTCAATAGAATCCGTATCTATGCACCCACATAGGGTCACCGTCGAGTTCTCGATAAATTTGGGAACGTCAAGCGTTCCTCCCCTCCTCAGCTTGTGGCTGCCGCGTGGCACGAACACACGGTCCCAAACATCTGGCCTTCATATTCACGCACAGTTCTCTGAGACCTCCTGCCGATAGTGATCACTGAGGCGGTGTCATTCCAGCCAAACAAGCCTGCAGCTGGTTTTGAATGACTGGGCGGAAACGATTGTGAAATGAAAGGACACTCAAACCGTGAGTTGTCATGTTTTGAAGCGAAGTACAGAAAATAGACGAAACCAGACTGAAATTGCACCATTACTGTTAAGAATCTGCGCCACAGTGAAAGTACGAAGGCTGACCTCAACTGATTAGTTTTCGAATCAGAACGACGAAGGCCCGAAATTTACTAAAAAAAAAATGGCAAGAAGCAACCTGGATTCTGAGCTTCTCTGCCCAAAACATCATGCTATGCAATCAACTGTCATTTTATGCAAATTTATTTCAAATGTTTTGCATGGTTGGATTTGAACATACAGTGCTTGTTAGGCAAAGCCTATTGCGTGCACATTATGCCCAACACCCAATTTGTCCCGCCCAGTTCAGTGGATAATTCTTCCACGGGCACATCGTGACTTCGCACTGGGGGCACTATAAAAAATAATTAACTGAAAAAGACGTTGCAGCGCGCCGAGGCGCACAGAATTCTTGGTGTCGCGATTAACACCAAATGTTTTCAATCCATGCATTTTGACGCGTCAAACTTGGCTTCGGTAATTTTCATCACATAGGGTTCTGCATTTCAATATATGTAATGATAGTGATTAGGGCTTTAGGTATCTCAGATTACCGGAGCCATTTCAAGACGGGATGCCTCGACTGGGAATATTCTGTGGTGATGTGGCGGAGGCCCGGGAGGGACCCGAACCCGAGACCGTCCTGTCCACAGTAGAGCACCGTAAGCGCTACACCACCATCGCCTCTTAAGTTGTGCTCGTAAAGCTTTGATAAGGGTCAGGCGCTCCTGATTTTTCCATTTACTTGAATATGTCTCCGACTTTCATCACCGTCATTGGGACTTAACGACGCACTCAGCTACTGAGGTTACATGGCGTCGCCTGCCTCTCACCCTGGCAGGAAGGGCGGGTACCGCGGAAGTCGAGCCCCGTACCTCTGGTTTCCTAGACGTACGGTGATTAACGCATCTGCGTTAACCACTAGACTGCCGGCACCCTGGCCTTGATTTTACCCTCGCCATTTTGCCCGACGAGACTGCGGAGGGTTTTACGCGTGGCACAACGCTGAGGAATGGCTTCCACGGATTAGGGTTCCCCCCGCAGGCCGGCCGTCAGCTGACATTTCGGGTGAGCTAAATAACGCGCCCGCTCTGGGACTCGTACCCAGTGCCGCTAGATAACGGGTCCAGCACTTTCTCCCAGACCGTGGAAGAGGCAAATTATCATACCATTGTACATCGACGGCATGATAAGCTGCTGTCTTCCGTCATAAACTAATTGATCATGTCATTGGCAACTTAGCATGTGAATGCGACAATTCAGCATGCGTTATGGCATATTGCAATAGCAGAAAACCGCCACGCTGCATTTCGCTAAAGAAAAATAATCCTTGCGGCAGCATAAGCGAGAACAAAAAAGCACAGAGAGCAATGCAAATATAGTATTAATATTTGTGGGACTGGGAGCGTCACATTACAGAGCTTGAAGTACTCACCCATGGTGTTACCAGATTGATGCATCAAAAAGTGGCTCGTGTCTCCACATGCATGAAGCGATTTGAAAACGGAAGTAACCGGTCCACATATATTTGGAAAAGCACCGACTTGCTTGGAAGATTTCCTCAATAACATGCGATGCCAAGTATGATAGGCTAGACAGTATCATACAGGCAAATGGTACCTTTTGTAGCTCATTCATTAGGCTTCGTATACTAAAAGCGACTAGGGAGATGGAAAAGTGAAAGCGTACCTATTTTAATGACTTACCACCCGCTGTCAGTACCACGCACACTACAAATGGTGTCATCTCTCTGGACACGAGGATTCGCCGATCCACGTCGTCCTGAGCCACCGCACCGCCCCAACCGAGCCCTGTCGTCGGCGACCCGGCGACCGTCCGAGGGGCGGTCCCCGGTGGCGGCCCACTCACCGGCCACGCGCCGTCGAACGGGAAGGCCATCTCGAGCAGCCGGTCCGGCAGCGGCTCCAGGCTGCTGTTGGCCACCACGCCCGTCACCAGCAGGCCGTAAGAGCACGGGCTGTCCTCAGGACGCCAGAGCGGCGGCCGGCCGGGCCTACCCCGCCGATCCTGCTTCTCTGGAGATGCACCGGGACGACGGGTCCGATCCGCTGGTCTGCTCCGCCGCTCCTGCTCTTGTGGAGACGCGCTGGTCCCACCTGTCCCGTCCGGAGGCCGGGGCAGTGGGCTGTCCGGCTGACCCAAAACTTGCTCTAGGGGCAGGGCACCCTCGGTCTCGTGGTGAGAGGTCTCCTTACGGAATTTGACGCCCTCAGGACTCGATATTTTTCCCCCATGAACAGTGTTCTTCGTGCTCGGGTTAGAAAATGGTTCCTGGGGCGTTGTGCCTGCGGGATTTCGGTCTTCGGCCAAAAGCGTGGTGTCC